CGCCGCCGGTGCCCACCTCTCCCCAGCCATGCCGGGCCTGGCCGCCGACGCGGGCAAGGTCCCCTTCTGCGACGCCAAGGAGGAAATCCGTGCCGGGCTGGAAGGCTCGGAGGGCGGTGGCGGCCCGGAGAGGCCGGACGCGCGCGGGCGGCGGCAGAACATAATCTGGGTCGTCCTGATGAGTCTGCTGCACTTGGGGGCCGTGTACTCGCTGGTGCTCATCCCGAAAGCCAAGCCGCTCACTCTGCTCTGGGGTAAGTCCCGCCGGCGCCCCCTGCGCCCCGGGCACTGTGGCGAGGCCGTACTGGGGCGCACCAGGTCGGCGCTCGGCCGCCTGCGGTGCAGGCTCGCTCCTCGCCTGCCCCCACGCTCCCCGGCCCCTTGTCATCTTGTTCTCTGCCCGGGGACGAGCAGGTATTTCTGTGCAGGTATTCTCAACTTCTGCCTCCCCCCGCGATCTGCCTGAGTAAGCGCATTTGCAGGCACGCGGTGTGGAGCCAGAGGGACCTGGAGTCCTGCGGCGCCACCGCTGTGCGCAGAGGCGCGCGGAGGGAGAGCCAGACCAGGCGAATGGGCTGTGGGAGGGAGGACGGCGGACCGGCAGGATGGCTGTGTCGCCCGTGCGGGTCCCAGAAGCTCTCCTGTCTGCCACCTTTCAGCTCCTCAGTGGCCTCCACCGGCCACGGACCTTGGGCTGAGTTAAAGACAAAAAATTGAGTGGAGAGAGGAAGAGAGACCCAGCACAGGACTGAGTCTTGGTTTTCCCGCACCATCGGGAAGAAACCAGTTCCCTTACTTCCTGTCCAAGGTCCCTGTCCCTGTCCCCTCCGTGGTCGTCTATGCCCAGTTGCAGTTCTCTGGCCCTGGAAGTTATTTGGCGAGCAAACCGAGCCCATGTCAATAGGGATCTGCTCCCAGCACGCAGCTCCAGCTGTGGCCTGCAGAGCTTCTCCAGGCCCTGTCCCCAGGTGGCCCTAAGGGGCTGTTCCGCACCTGAGATTGCACCTGTGGCTCTCCTGCTACCTCCTTCCTTGCACCCCCACCCCTGCTGGCAGGGAAGAGTCCAGGAACCAGCCACCGGCTCCTCCTCTCCCGGATCCCAGGACCCAGTCCTTGGTCTCTGAACTACCTTGCTGGCTCCCCGGCCAGTGACTGGTTTGGCCTTCGTCACAAAGCAGCAGTCGCTGGGACAAAAGGCACAGGCATTGATATGCCGGGCTGAGAATTTGACGAGGTAATCCAAGAAGCTCTTCCAGCTCTCATTTCTGAGATCTCTGAGGAACGGGGGCAGGAGAAACACAACCTACTTTTATTTCCAGAGGGGAAGAGGAAGGAAGAAAATAAGACCTCTTTCTATAAAGCTTCTTAATTTGGCATGCCGCCTGCTGCAAATGTCTTGGTAGATAATAGGCCACTGGAGTGCCAGCCCTTCACTTGAAACCCTGCAGTCCCTGCTGGTGGAAGCAAAGCCATCTAGGAGGTGGTTACCTCTGGGGGGGGGGTGTGGCTCGGGAGGGATGGTAAGAGAGGCAGAGGTCTTTGGCAATCCCTGAAGCCTTTCAAGTCTTCCAGAGGCTCCTGGTAATAATCCCCTGCCTCATCTCTCCTCCTCTCAGGGACACCCCCTCAATTCCAAGTCCTTTTCACCATCCTCCTTGTTAGGTGTCGGTTGAATTCTCCGTCTTCCTTCCTTATCTCCAAGTGACTTGACTGTGTGCTGTTCAGTCATAGCGCCATGGACACACGCCCACTTTGCCATCCAAAGCTCTTATTGCCCAGAGCCTGCACTGGGCTCCTCGCAGCCCACCGGCCTCTGGGGAATTGGGGCTCATCTTTAAAGCTGTTGTGTTCAGAGAAAGTGCAGGGAGAAGTGAGCACTTAAAGTATTATCTTACATGCCTGGGGCTCCGCAGAGCCCATGACCTCCACTCCATGCCGACATGGCGGCCCGAGACACTGGCACTGGACCAGGAGCCATGAGGACAAAGCCCTCCTCTCCAGGTCTGCCAGGTCACCTCTGCCCTTTCCAGATGGCTCTCTGTGGGGAAGACAGAATCTTTGTTCTGGAAGACCTTGGCCAAAGGACGTCTCCTTTGGCCCCAAACTCCTCTCTAGAATCCTCAGAAAGGCAACCCACTTTAGGAACCTGTTCCCCTTTCTGGGTGATGTTGCCAAACCCCATTCTCGTTCCTCCGGGGATAGCTGTCTGCCTTCACTACTCTTTATCAGTCCGTTCTCTAAGTCTTGATTCTCTCTCTCCCCCTTCACTGCCTCCTTAAAGAAAAAAAGAAAGAAAGAAAGGAAGGAAGGAAGGGAGCAGACAATGATGGAGGTTGTAGCTTCCAAGTCCAATTGTGACTCAGAAAGATCGCAAACGATGGATCTTATCTGACGGACTTGTTTTGAAGCGTGAAGTGAGAGACAGCCAGAGACCCGCTAAGATCCATGGCAGTGGCGGCTGGGCTATACCAGGGCAGCCGACGGGACTCAGGGTGGGGCCTTCTTTTCAGTGAAAGCCCTCTGTGCTGACCCACAGATCTGGCCTCACTGGAGGGCCTTTCCAACTCCCTGCCCGCTGGGTCCATCTAGCATTAGGGCAAGTTCATGCCCCAGGGGGCTGCTCACCCGCTGCAGGGACCTGCATTGTAAGGAAGTAGGCTCAGCCCACCCATCGCTTGCCACCATCCACCCCAGCAAAGTCGCCTTGGAGACAGGCAGTGTCCATGCAGGACAGCCAGCAAGAACGCTGTTGGAGTGCTGCATGCAGGAATGATTTGCGGGGCAGTGGATCGTCATCCAGACCCATCAGGCCGTTCAGTCCAGCCTCCTGCACTGCTAACCCCACCCCCGTTTTTGATTCTCCTTGAAGCCAGAGCAAGTTGTTTCCCTTCCTATCTTTCCTGTGTGTGTGTTGAGGTTTTTTTTTTTTTTTTTTTTTTTTTTTTTTTTTGTGTGGGGCGTTTTTTTTTTTTTTTTTGAGTGGGCAGCTGTCAGAACGGAATGCTCTCAAGGCTCCCTGGTCCTCAGGGATGGTTTTTATGAGTTTTGAGGACAAAAAGCAAACTCCAAGTGGAGGAGAAATCTTCAGGTAAAGGCCTGAGTTCCCCAAAGTGAACTGCCTTGAGAGTTTCTGTCCACAGAGATATTACTCAATGCCCCAAGTCCCAAGATGCCTAGAGCAGGGAGCAGTGACCAGCTATGGGGGGATTGAGGAAAAGTCCTGGGGCGCTTCTCGGTGGAACTTTTCCCTGACTTTCTCCATGCATCTGTCTGCTGACTTCCAGAAATGTCAAGGTCCTCTCTGGTTTCTACCTAAGTATCATTCGAGTCCCCTAAACGTGTCCCACGGTGACATGATGGTTTTGCCTCATGGGACCATGTCAGTAGCAGGACCAGACATGCTATGTAGTCATTTGCCCTGCTCCTGTTGCTCGATTGGCTATCCTTCTTCTGCCCTGCCCTGAGGCAAATGTGACCTTTGTGAAGGCAGACATAGGATTCTTGGTGCCCTTCTGGCTGCTCAAGCATCCGCACCATCCTGAGTGGGGTCAGCCTTTGGCAGGAAGGTCAAGGACTGGCGGTGCAGCGCGAGGAAGCCAGTTGGAGTTGTGCTTTGGAAGGCAGAGTTCCGCAAGTCACATTCTGCCAATCCTGAGACCTGCCCAATGAAGAGCTGTCTTCTGTCAGGCATTGGTAAGCTGCATCCACAACTTCGGTAGCCTGAGGTCTTTGCTGGGTTGTGCTTCTTCTCTATTAAGTCACTCAGGTTCTCTCTCTCTCTCTCTCTCTTTTTAAATGATTTAATTTTATTTGTTATTATTTATTTTTTAATTTGACCAGAAAGACAGAGAGAGAAAGGAAAAGTGAGAAAGCAAGCCACCAGGTCCAGGACTCGAACTATAGTCAGTCATGTGGGAGTCCAGCACCTTAACCACTATACCCCTTTTGGTCCCAGTCACTTAGGTTCTTGAGCAGCCCCCAAAATATATGGCCATGGACTTCTGTCTTGCCTTCAGGTTTCTGGGGCAAGTAAGGCTCAGTAGAGAGGCAGAGCTCCACGTGAATCCCTGCTTTTCTGCCTACTTACCAGCTGCATGGCCATGGACATGTTAACATCTCTGGACTTCAGTTTTCTCACCTGTAGAATGGATATATCAATACTAGTTGCTTGGGTCAGGCTGTGGTGTGGTTAAGGCAGCTGGATCCCACATAGCCAGTGTATGGTTCACATCCCAGACCCAGCAGCTTGAGAAACAAGCTAGGCATGTGTGTGTGGGTGCCCCAATTCCAGAAAATAAAGAAAGTTGGAGGAGAAGGGTTTGCAGCATGACCATCCCCTATCTATGGGGGGGGGAGTGCTTTCTTACTTTCACTCTCTCTCTCTCTCCAGTAAGAGCACGTGCCCTTTAGCAAAATATTTTTTAAATAGAAATATTATAAATAATTATATACATTTTATATTTATATAAAATTATATAAAATATAAACATTACTTTTATTAAATTATATTCACATAAAATTTTTAGAATTAATAAATTTTATACTTATGTAAAACTTATGAAAAATGTATATATATAAACTATATTACATTATTGAAAATTTTTAAAATGATTCCTTTTCTCCTAAGGTTGGGAAAGTTAAATCAGATGAGATATGTCATTCACGAAGCACAGTGTGTGGCCCTGGGTTGGTGTTAAGTCATTACTGGCTTCCGCTAGCATGGACTCTTAACACTGGTTCATTGCTTTAGTAGCAAGAAAAAAGGTCATCCCACAGCACAGTAAATTCCACCAAGCTGGCAAAGAACTTGGCCCCACTGCCTCCCTTGCATAGAAAAGATGGCCTGGAGTTTGGCAAAAAGGGCTCTTTCTCAAAGTTCCCAAAGAGAAAGCAATGCAAAACCCTTCTGTATGTCTTCCCTCCCTCCTATCCTTCTTTTTCATTCTTCCTTCCTCTGTTTTCCTCAAAAAGATCATGATTTTGTTGTTTAGGACCTTTTTGTCCAGCTAAGAATTCACCTGGTCGTTAGCATTTTCTTTGGGAGTTTCCGAGCACAACCAGTTCCAATTGCTGTAGAAACAGGGCCAAATGATTTATCTGAGTCTCTGACAGTCTCAATTTTGACTTGTTTTTCCCTCTTCCTGTCCCCTTGAGTCATCATTTCAAAAAATCTTTAATGCTCAATTAAACTACAAAAATAACTTTGAAAAGCGAATGAGCCTCTCTTTCCAACCCCTTATTTCCCAGCCTATTG